TAAAAAACGCTGAGTAAGTCGTAAAAAACGTGTTTTTAATAAAAAGTCGAGTAAATCGTAAAACTTTGCGATTAACTCGAGAAATTTATTAAAAACGACGTCAGATCAGGAAACGATTCCGTAAAAGTCGGAAAACGGTTTTTATCGCAAAACGGTCCGGAAGGACCTAAAACGCGATAAAACCCATCTCGTGATTTCAGCGGAATCAAACCCGCGGATTTGATAACGTTTTGACGGTTTACTCGCAGAAAGAAAATAAAAGTCAAGTTTAAACATAAAAGGAAGATTTGAAGAGAAATAGAAGATTTCCGCAGAAGAAAAGGAAGGATCGAGAAGAATGGAAAGTTCCCGATTTAAGTCAAATCTGGGCAAAATGGAAAGATCGAATAGCCAAGATGAGGAGTATATAAAGAGGAGGTCTAGGGCAGAAGCAGACACACGAAATTCAGAGCTCTCACCACCAAAATTAGCATTTAGGAATCTTTCCGTTTTTCTGTTAGCGAGCTGCGTCTCAACTAGGGTTTTCTAAGTTCTTACGTTTACGGCTACTCTTTTTGTAACCAGTTCAACGCAGATTCGGAATAAGAACCTTCTTGCTCTCAAACCTCTCTTATTTTCGTTTTTTCTAAGTTATCGTTTTCTTATTTTCGTTGTGCGGTTCTCGCAGATAACCGGTTCCTCTGGAAACTTAGGGTTTTTCCCGAAGTTTCCTTATTTACGATTTATTTGACAGAAGGGTGAAATCGACTCCCACATGCTTTCTCTCTACTATCGAGTTCTGTTGAGGTGTTTCAGGACAAGAATGATAATGAACAATGTCTTTCTCAAGAAACAAATCAGTAAAGTTCAATTCATTAGCATTATCAGATCTAACAGCTTGTAGTTTCAGTTTGTATTGATTCTCTATCATGGCTATAAACCCGGGAAAAATGTGCAAAACATCAAATTTATTTCTCATCAAATATATCCAAGTGGCCCTACTATGGTCATCAACAATTGTCAGATAATACCTATAACCATCAGTAGTTGGAACAGAGAAAGGACCCCATGTATCAATGTGCACAAGTTCAAAGGGTTTAGAACGAATGTTGTTTCTTGTTTGAAAAGGTAAATGCTTTTGTTTTGCAAGATGACATATATGAAAAGTATGTAAATTTTCTTTTTCATTCTTTAATCCTTTTAAACACAACATATCATAGAGTACATCAATCTTAGAACCAGACGAATGACCTAGTCTATTATGCCAAGTAGAGGAATCAATAGTAAAACTAGAACAAACTGGTGGAAAGGAACAAGTGGTAGAAGTACCTTTTAAACACACAGAATGAGTACTTGCATCGAAATCCATGACATATAAATTCCCGACTTGACTACCTTGACCAATCATCAGTTCCCATGTAAGATCCTGAATAAACCAATGATCAGATGTAACACTCACTTTAGAATGCAACGTTATAGTTAATACACTATCACTGATCAGATTAAATTTGAATTCAGGGATATACATGACATTATGTAGAGAGATAGCATCAGTTAATTGAATGAAGCTTATGCCCTCTATATGAACGGTGTAACCATTAGGTAGAGTGACAAAGGTTCTATCTAGTGGCTTGTACTCTACATAAAGATCCTTAGTATGAGAAACATGATGTGTAGCCCCTGAATCTAATACCCAAGCCCTAAGAGACACAGCCGGTTCTGAGGAGACTGAAGAAACGAGCATGTCATAATATGATTTTGAATATAGATCAAGGAAAGTACCTGAAATATGTGAGACAACAGGCACATAAGTTGAAGTCGAAGCATAGGATTTGTCAGATAAGGATTCAGTTGATGAAGAGTGAAGCTTGGAACTAAGATAGGAGATCATAGACTGAATCTGTTCTTTTTTCATTTCCTCCTTTGAGTTATCAAACCTCTCTGTCTGGTGATCCGCAGTCCCTTGAACCGGTGCAGCAGCAAGATTAGTTGAACCAATGTTCTGAGACTTCTTCCAATTTGGAGGACCAGAACCAGGTGGATCACGATGTAACTTGTAGCATTTATCAGCAGTGTGTCCCATCTTATGGCAATGAGAACACTTAGGCTTCTGGTAACCCGTATGAGATAATAGTGCTTGAGGTTGCTCAGCAACGTTGTTTACTTGAACTTGAAAAGCAGATGGATTAGAGACGCTCTTCAGAGATGACTTCCCAACCGACCTTTGACTCTCATCTTGATCAAGCATGTTGTATATCTCTGTCAATCCAGGTCTCGGTTTCATGTTCAAGATCTGGCAACGTATGTTAGCAAAACTCTCATTAAGTCCCATAAGGAACTGAATAATCCTACTTGTCTCAGCTTCTTCAATCAGCTCCTTCACATGATCACAGTTACAACGTTTCACTGTGGTAGTCCTGGTGTTAGCCAACTGCTCCCACAATGTCTTCTTCTTCGTGTAATACGTTGAAAGATCAAGATTATCCTGCTTCAGAGTCATGATTGACTGTTCGAGTTGATACTTCCTCAGAAGATTACTCACTCGAAACCTCAAATACAAGTCATTCCACATCTCAACCGCATCCTCATAGTAAAGAATACTATCATATATCTCTTTGTTCACTACATTCAGCAACCACGCCTTCACCATGCTATTACATCTACTCCAGATCTTAAACACGCTATCATCTATATCTGGCCTCGGAAGAGATCCTTTAACAAAACTCAGCTTATTCTTCGCATCTAAACTCATACACATCGCTATAGACCAGTTGTTATAGTTCGTTCCATCCAATACATGAGTAACAATGCATAAACCTGGATGATTTGCAGAGTGAAGAAAGTATGGACTGTGAACATTTTCATATGACTCTTTCTTCAACGAAAAAGCTGGAGATCGATCACGATTCGTCGTCAGGTCATGGTGCGGCGTCATCGCAATCTCATTCTCAGCTAGAGTAGTGTGACTGGTTGAAATGGATGAACGTCCTCTCGGTTTGCGTCCTTGTTTTGCCATCGGAGTGAATCGGAGCTTGAGAATGATTTGAAGAATCGAAAAAATCGCAAAGGTGATTTGGATCTTTTTCGAGATCAAATCGGAGACAGAAACGGCTTACGATCAACAATCTGATGATGAAATCGAAGAGAAACGAGAAGGAAAACGAAGAATCTGAGCTCAATCGAAAAATTCTACGCGGAAAAACTCTTATACCATTTTAGTAATCTTTGATGTAAACTCAGATTTCCATTAATGAGAAAGTTTGTTACAACCGTATATTTATACACTTGAGAACAAACTAAACCAAAAACGACCAACTGGTTTACATCTTAAATAAAAATAAACCAGACATTCCAGAGCCCTTAACCGAGCTACACTAAAATATGCGGCTTGCAACACAATTTAGTTGGTATTTTCTGAATGTTAAATGATGATTCCATTTTAAACAAATACACCGATCCAGTGTCTAAATGGAGGGTTAACAAGAGTTTTAAATCATCCACAAAGTCATAATTTTTATGATATTGTTCAAGACCAATGATTTTGAGTGTAAGAGACCCAACCAAAAAAACTATTATATTATGCTTGTATGTATGAATTAATACATATGGTTGAATAGAATGCAAAATGTAACATAATTAAATAGGTATGCTCTTGAGGAACACATGGTTCATGAGAGCAAAAATGGACGTTTCGCTGTTGTCGCGTTCTTATACAATATTGGAGAACCTGACCCTTTTCTTCTTTCGGTATTCCCGTTCTCAACCTAATTCATAAATATTTTTTTCCATCAATGATCGCAAAGATTCAGACATTTTATTTTCGTTTTGATTAGTTGCAAGAACATTTGAAAAAGATAACTGATACACACGAGACCGAGGATTATGTCGGGATGATTGATCCCAAAAAATTCACTTTCGAATCAAAACAATACTATAGATATCTTGGATCACTTACAACTCCTCCATGTTCTGAACATGTTACTTGGTCAATTTCCAGAAAGGTACTTTACTAATTATTTTCTTTAAAAACTAATTATTTCTAAAAGATATAGCTTTCTTTGGTATTGTAATTTTCTAATATTACCTTCTGCGCTTTTTTAAGTTTTGGATTTTAATAACCAACTTATTTTCGCTATTCATAGTGGTTCATGTTCATCATGGATGAGGACTGAATTTAATTAAAACAATTGTAGATACTTTGCGTGACTGGCTATAATACAATATCGGTCTTCACTTCATCTTTTATCATGTTATTTTGCTTAGTAATATCTTAGCATCAAATTGTAAGTAACCTTGTACTTTAATGAAAACCCACCCTTTGACAAAAATATGTCCAATCCTTTTATACACGTTCAGATTAGGACCGTAACAAGTCAGCAAGTGAAGCTTCTCCGAGTGGCTGTACATGATGTAAGTGTTTTTCTCTTTTGTTAGTTTTCTCATCAGTCATCAGATTCCAACTTATTAATTATTATACAACCACATCATAGCTTATTTAACATAATCTTAACTATCATATTAGAATATACTTGTATGCATATCTGAATTGCATATTTATCAACATAAAAACCGTGTGTGAAAATACGACTACTTATTTTAGATATAATATTCAAAGTAGGGTCAAAATGTTTTATATATACTCCCTCTCTGTTATACAATACATGGAGTTTTAGAATATTGCACTTAGTAAAAAACTTATTTTTCACCTACAAATATAATTAAAGAATAAAACAAAATGATTCAATTAATTCTAAAATATACTATAAAATATTTTTGGTTCCACAGTTTTTGATAAATTTAAAAAATTACACTGAGATATGAAAATATTTTCTATATTAAAACATCAAAAACTTTTTCAATCATCATGTAATTTGAAACAGAGGAATAATAGTAAGGTAATACCAAAATGTTTCAAGAATATCATCCAACTGATAATTCCATTTTCATTATTTTAATTAATGTTTTCAATAATTTAACAGGCTTCGGATACAAATGCTAGGCCGCTTCAGCCAATCAATAAGCGCGTGGTGCACTTATACATACCACCAACGGAGAACAAATAAGAGCATCTCCTACTGTAGTTTTTTTAGAGGGGAGTCTTTAACGAAAAAATAATTAAATAATCATTGAATTCTATAAAAAAATTAATGATTCAATCTTAAAAATTTATAAATAAGGACTGTTTCTTAATGAATCCTTACACTATTTGCGGGTCTCCATGACACATAGCGATCCGCAATTCGTTAATTTTTTTTTTCTTTTTTTTTTAAAAAATCTGAAAAAACAAAAAACAAATAAAAATTATAAAAAACAGTTTTTAAGGACTCTAACGGGTAACACCGTTGGAAATGCTCTAAGTCTGTATTAATCTTTTCTTCTACTTCTTTATCAAACATTATAAACCGGTGTTTCAAAAATAAAAATTAAACATTTCAACCTACTGTATATGCCATTCGCTATTGTTCTCATCGCCTATATATTAAAAGAGAGTCATTTAAAAAATTGTAACCTTAAGTTTGTAATAATTAAAAATAACTTCAATCATATGTGGCATACCTCTTTGTCTATTCTAGAGCATCTAATATAATGTATAGTCTAAAAATTATACTATCTAGCAATATAATATATCGTATGCTATAGTTAGTCGCATATATTAAATATTTATTCTTTCGCATGCTTTCCTTAAATAAAACATACAGAATTACCTAATGTGATTAATATATATATATGACAATTAATGATTTTGAACAATAAAGATTTGATAACAATCTTTATACTTTTTTTTCATTTTTTATTTCTTTATTATTAAAAAATTACATAATTACATAATTATATAAGAAAAATCTAGATTTGTTTTGTGTATGTTGTATTTCGAATTTTTCAAAATGAATATATATATACTAAAACTGTTAAAAGTTTCACATAAACTTTTAGGATCAAGGTTTTAATTTTTTTTTCTATATTAAAATATAATGATTATAAGACCATATGAAGAAATAATTTTATTTTATATATATTTCATATCGTTCAAATTAAACTATACATCGTATGAAAATACATACTTATATCTTGATATTTGCAATGAACATATATTGAAAAGTTAACATTTTAATTTTGAAATATGTCATTTTTTAAAAATGATTATAAATGATTGAAACTACTAAACATCTCACACTAAAAAAATTCGTGGTGTAAAGTTTTGTTACACAAATATGCAAACAATCATAAAATCATATGAGTACAAACCTCATTTAATAAATATCCATATTAAAAGTGTGCTATATTACTATGTTTATATCATTTAAATTTAATTATATATCATATACAATAAATAAGATTGAATTTTTTGATTATTTACCCTAATTACGAATAAACAAGAATGGTAATTAAATTTATATGCATACGCCAGTTTATTACATAATAGTAACTGATTTCTTAGTTATTTAATATATATATTTATTATTTTATTATTTTATAATTTGCAGAAAAATATAAAATATAAAATACTTATTGTGCATAAAGTGCAGATCTTAACCTAAGTATGATCTCTTTAATTATTTTAAATCTTAAATATTTTCTAAATCTCAGGTCAAAACAAACAAACACAATGAGAATAAACTTCAAAATAAATATTTATATCGAGGAATAACCAAAATAAAAAAAAACACAACAAGAGAAAAATTGAAGATAAATATGATTGACACGTGAACGTAAGCTTCTCATAACCATAATTAATTTTAAATTGTTAAATCATGATATAAAACTGAGTTAATTTTCAATTTGTTAATTTTTAAAATTTTAAATCATTATGGTTATGTTAAATCATGACCATAATTAATTTTAAATTGTTTACTTGTATTTTAAAAACTTAAAATATTGTATTTAAAAATAATGTAAAATTTAACTTAATTTTTTATAAAAAATTTTTTTAAATATAATTTGTATAAAAATATAATTTTCTAATATTATTAGACAAATAAATAAATTATATTAAATTAGTTTTGAAACTTTATATATTTTAAATGCAAATATTTTACCAACTGCTTCTTAAGAAAACATTAGAGAACTTGCTAATACTCTAGCAATCAATTCCAGTGACACTCCGTTTATTTTCCATTACTCGAACACTGAAAAGTGAAAAGATATATGAAATCGGGTCCATTAAATTCTAAGCTTTGATCTACATTTCTAATTACAATTGTTTCTGATCCTACGTATACATAATTATATAAAAATTCCAAAATTCTAAAATTTCAAATACATATAAAAACAATCATATGTAAATTTTAAATTTGTCAATACTAAAAATTATATTTTAGTTACATTCATTTATCCTGCGCAAGGCGCATGTCTTATCCTAATATAATATTATATGTCAAAAATAAAAGGGAAGTTAGACAGGTCTAACACTACATGTAGTTTTTTCGTTTAGGGGCTTATTGGATTGATGATTCGAGAGAATTTCAATATGTCTTCAATTCATAAATTTTTTGACAATGGTGCTGGTTCAGCTATACATTTAACAACATGTCAAATCTCTGCATACTAGTTCTTAAGTATTTTTATTTCTTAAATATATATTAAATCTTCCCGAAGATCGGAAAATCAGATTCGGTTACAGAGCTCGATTTGTACAAAACAACCCAAATTTTTCTATTACAATCTAGCTTCATCCACCAACTAAATCCGGCACATTTCGCTAATTTGATTTTTGAAATCCTTGGGAATCAGTAACCGTTCTCAACCTTTGACAAAAATTGCAAGACCATGAGGTTCTCCTCGTTGCCTCAGATGCTGGAAACTCCTACGTGTCTCCAGAGTAACTCGTTCCCGATGAACTCTTCGAAGCTTGTAACCGTCACTGTCAATGAACTGCACAATGTTAGAGGAGAGAAAGGATTGGAAGACACTCACCAAAGCAAATGTATCAAACCCAGCTATACAGCCTAGCCTCCGACGCCAACCGAGACTGACAATAAGGACGTGAAGAAAACTACTGCCAGACTGAACCTGCAAAATATGAGCCAGAGAAGGCTGCTGTACTTTAACCGGTCGGAGCTCCACACCTGCAAGAATATTAGAGAGATAACACTGCCAAGCACCATCAACTAAAAGCACCCGACACCGGGATATACCATCTCTCAGAAAGGTGACTGATATGCTCAAATTAACCTTCAAGCTACTCTCTCAAATAAGAGGTTCGGTGTAGTACTTGAGGATCGAATCTACTGAGACCAAATATTACACTTTATTTTTATAGGATCAAATTTTAAGCTAAAACAATATGGGGTTTTTAAAATTAAGAAAACGTAGAAAGCAAGTAACAAGTTGGTTTGGTTTCAGATTAAAGAGAATGCTAGCCTAGGGTGAAGGATTGGGTATCAAACGATCATGAGCCAAACATCTATTCAAAGGTTTTATTAAGCACAAGTCTAGAACTCAAAAGACAAATAAAGATTGACCCACTCTCGTGGTATCTCCCCTTTTGACAATCAGCCTTAATACCTAAACTCTCGTTTGGACTAAAACATGAAAGAAAACATTAAGATCAGATTCGATAAGTTCACAGCACGCCCTAACATCTACTTTCGCTGGTTAGGGACGAACTGCCCGTTCAAGTTATTTCTAGCAACCTAAAACACTTTTGATGAATAGATTAAACCTAGAATCAGGCACTAAGTAGCTAGTTTAATGCAGGCAATAAGTATGAACATGAATGGAGACAATCAAATAATGAACCTTATTTG